AGAAGATTGTGACAGTAGTGATGGAAGACACTTGACTCTGTATATGACAGTGGTACTCAAGAATGATTTTGCCCCACAAGTGACATTTGACAATGTCTGGAGATAGACTTTGGTGTCACAGCTAAAGAAAACGAGGTACTACTGGTATGCAGTGTATAGAGACAGAGATGCTACTAAACACCCTGCCACACACAAGACATCTTCCTACAGCAAAGAATTATTTGGACCACAATGTCAATAGTGTCCAAGTTGGGAAACCCTGGGTATTAATTGCTTCTTGAGCATTATCTCCCTTTGAGATACTTAATAGTCCTATCTGGGCACATTTGAGAAGTAGGATACAGTTTCCAATTTTCTTCCCGAAATTAGATAGAAAGCCTTATACCAAAGTTAAGCAGGTCATTTATTGACCCATGTCAGGCTATTCTTAGGCTGGGTGAAATTGTTTTTTTTTTTTTTTTTTAATTTTAGGACCATGCAGTAAAATCCTTTTAGGATTCTTCCTCTTTCATCTACTCAAATATCTATACCTGTCATTCCTAGTACACCTCAATTATGTCTGCCCTGACCTTTCTGCATTCTGTATTGAGATCACCCAAATTCTAATTCCATGAGATCAGCCAAAAGCTACAGTGTCAGTGTCTGCTGAGTTTTAACAGAAATTGAGACAGTTTGGGCATAATCTTAACCTAAAGGCTAAGTGAATAGAATACACAATTTACTTAGAGTAACTTATTTTCAAATCAGTATTTGATTTCAAAAAAATCAATGATTTTTTTCCCTAATATGTCTCAACTCTATCTCCTCTCTGTCTCTGTTGTCAGTACGTAATTCAGATCCTCATCATCTTTTTAGTAAACCATTGAAAGAAACACTTAACTAACCTCTTAACTTTTCTGCCACTTTTGCTGTTTACTTACCATTTTTTCACCTAATCTATTTTGTAAAGTGTTTGTTCCTCCAGATTTTCCCCCACCTTAAATTTTTCCTGATTAAACCAATAGGTAGTTTCTCTGCATCAATAAAATGTTTCTCAATTGTGGATTACATATGGAATCTTTTTAAAGAGAAAAGAAATCATTTTATCTCAACTGGTATCTGCTTAAATTATTTGATTGTAAAATCACATGTATTTATGTACAGATATAAAATCAAATTCTTCTTTATGTTTAAAGTTTAACACAACTATGAAACCAAAACGAATTTTCAAATTAAAAAAGAAACCAAACTGTTCAACAAAGAAAATTCAAATTTGCAATACAAGTTAGTAAGACAGTTAATATTGTCCTGAAATAGTAACATTGCTTTCAGCGGCTTTGTGTTCATTATTCTCAGGTGCCTGTGCTATATGGTAAGCTATGGCGTGACTCTGTTCATCTAATTCTTTAATCTGTCCCTGAAATCAGTGCATTATTTAAATATAAAACCTGCCTCTATTCTTTTCATATTAGCCCAGGACAGATGAATGTACATGAGTGTAGTTGAAATGCAAAACAAGGATAAACACAGGTACTAGAAATTGATAAGTTACATCAGCCAGTTCTCATATTATTTTCTTGTATTTCTTTATATTGTACTATTATAAGGGGAAAAATCACAGAATTAAGAATTCTTGTTAACTTACAGGAAAGACTTTGTGTTTGAGCACTGTTTCCTCAATAGTGGGAAAGACTGACCTATAGAACTGAGTCCAGATGCCACAGCAAGGCATTTACGTCTTCAGTATCCACTGCGGCTCTTTCCTCATCCCTCCAGGCTGTTTGCCGTTTCAGTCCTGTTCCCGTCCCGCCCCGCTCCCGTCCTGTCCCACCGCTCTGTGCTTTTGCTGGTGGTACTTGGTCTACGTTCTTTTCCTACCAGTTTTGTTTCTTACGTTTCTTAATCATCCTTCAAGATCAAACGTAGGGGTCCTTTCCTCTAAAACCATTTCTAGAACCCCAGGGTGAGATGTACCTGTCCTCTGTGGATTAAGCGTACCCAGTGACCTTCCCTAAACTGCCTCCTCCCTTGGGACAGGGCTCTGTCCATCCCCTCCCTCTGTCAGAGCTGTAATAAGAGCAGAGATGGTGCCACTAGCCCAGGTCCTGTCACACCAGGGATCACTCCAGAAATACATACGTATATGTATGTATGTATGCATGTATGTATTTATAGTAAGCTGAACGGACTCATTTTCAACTGAAGACCTGTCTCTGGTAACCAGGCTAGCTTTTGTTTGTTTGTAGTATGTTTGTTTCCAATGCTCAGAATTGAATGTACTTTAAGAAAACATGGCATAGTTGAAAATGCACAGTATTTAAAATCAAAGGGACTTGATTTCACATCTTGCCCTGTCATTTGTTCTTGTGTGTAAGATGAAGATAGATAATCACCATCTCACACTCTTTTTACAGATGTGCAAAATTTTGGCATAATATTTGTCAAACAGGCATATATGCCATAAATATTAGTTTGTTTCCTATGTTATTGCTTTACTTATTTTTATGGGCTGTAGTTATTTAAAATTATTATTGTTAGCAGTGAAGTTTCAAATTTATATACCTCCTTATTACAGTTAGATTGAGGTCCAGTATTAGTTGTTTTTTTCCTGAACTGTGCTTCTGCTTTACTGTATACAATAGATGGGACAATCCATCTTTCCTTTTCATCCTCTCAGGATACCTCACTCCCTTTAACTATTTATATTTATTCAGAACATATTTTTTTTCTTTTATTGCCACAGGCATGAGAGAACCTCTACTTTGTTCTTATTACCTAGAAAAATCTGTCTTCTTCCTTCTCTTTGCAGTCCATTTTCATCAAAAAGCATCTACTTTGAGAAGCATTTTCTCTCCCTGCATTATATTATTGAATTTTCCTTTTTTATGCTTTCATACAGTTATTGGAATCTATAGCTTCAGTTCTTTAGGTAATAGGCTTAAGGCTCTTAGATAACACAAAATTTATTGTAAAAGTAAGTCATGTGGAGTTCAGGAACATGGAAAATTTCTCTAATCAGTGGGTTCCCAGCCCTTACGTGTGTTTTATAAACAAAAATAGATCAAAGGTAGATATGTAAGCGACGGATTCTGATTTAGCTGATGCTTACAAGGAAAAACAAAGAATGAAAAGGTGGCAGGTTTTTTTTTATTATAGAATGAAATGACTGTAACTACATAAAGCTACAGAAAGTATTCCTAATATGAAATTCTTAATAATGGACACTTATTGGTACAAGAAAATTCAGACTAGACGGAAAAAAGTTTTACAGATATGGTGATAGCCAAAGGATGAACTAAGCAGCAAAGGGATGCAACCAGTGTCACTCAGGACAAAGTATTTGGGTCTTGGCTTAACACTGAGAGGATAGGAGCAGTGAAAGCAGCCTGTCGTAGAGCAGCAGGCATGAGCTGGTGGCCCCGGGAGACCCTGTATCTCGAACCGTTCTCTAGCTCCGCGCTTTCGTGAAGACTGGAGGCTCTGTGTGGCACCAGTGCTTCTGTGTTGGGTTAAGGCTGCGCCTGTCATACTCTGATCCATTACACCTTCAACCACCTCTCTGAATGCCTTTCAAATTAAAGCTGCAGTGCTTTTTGGTGAAGAGAGTCATGACAGGAAAAAAAGCTATGAATGCTTGAAACAGAGGAAATGCATTTGGTTCTGTTTTTACACTGTTTGTCACAATCACGAAGAGTACCACTTTACCATCTGGTAGGAAATAAAAGAGAACCTTAGGGTCTTGTTTTCTAAGTTGGGAATAAAATAATTTGAGTTGGAAAATCTCAGTGAACAGTTAAAAGTTTACAAGCACTGACCTCAGGCCCTTTTGCATCCATGTTGCCTGCGTTTGGGGTACAGTTAACACATGTCATTGCTGGAGACTGAGCACTGCTTGACTGCACAGAGAAGAGAACGTAACAAAGGACTCCTCCTTGCATTTCTGCTTCTCTGTCGCTTGTTCAGCGTAACTCTCTGTTTGAAAACTAGAATTATTAGGGCTATTATGGTCATGTGCATCTGATTCCATGATTTGGGGTCTTGTTCTCAGTTGGTTTTAACTTCTTATGAGAAAACCAATGTTCGTTTATATTTCAGATTGACTCAAAAATGTTTTTTCTTAATTTTCATGTCAGCTACTTGGTATGCAAAATTACATTTTTTGCTCTTGAAGATGTTTCAGATTATTGGAGGAGAATATAAAGATAACTCTTTCAGAGAATGGCAAGCCAAGCCACAGGCCAGAAGAGAATATTTGCAAGAGGCACACATGGTAAAGGCCTGCAGGCTCACTGCAGCAAGCACAACACATGTGCTATGCTGGTACAGGGCGACAAAGGCATACATGTGTGGAGTCAGGAATTATGTGGAGACTCTGTACTTTCTATTCAATTTTTTGTGAACCTAAAACTAAAGAAACTAAGTTTGTTTTTAAAAATGATTAAACCAATGCATCCTGCCAGATGGTATGAAAGAAGGGCTGTAAGAAGCATAGAAGCCCAGAGAAGAGAGTCTTATTCAGCCTGGGGGGGTTTCAAGACGACTCCATAGAACCCATGGCTTTTAGACCGGGCTTTAAAGGTAAATGGAAGTTGCCCTGTAGGAAAGTGCAAGGCAGGAATTACAGGTAGAGGTGAAGGAATGAGGAGGTTTAGAAGGGGGGAGAGGAGCAAGAGAAAGATGCGACGTCCTGGTGAATGCCGTGTAATTCTGACTGAAACTAGAGTTTACTGTAGGCACAGGCGGCTCATTGGACTAATGGGGCATGTTGGAAATCTTAGCCATTTTATCACTTGGACATTTTTGTCTCAGTTTGCCATTGAAGAAATTAAGGCAAAAAGCACTATATGAACTGCCCAAGTTCATATAACTGATCAGTGGCAGAGCTAAGACTCAGATCCAGACATCATGATATCAAAACTCACCTGCCTGGCCACACTGCAGGAGGTGGTGTGGGTAGAACCTTCAAACTGGGAAGAACTAAATGTAGGTCAGATGTCATTGTCCGTTTTTTGTTTTTTCAGGTTTCTTTGCAAGGAAATAAACCAGCAGCTTCAATCAACTTCAACTCTGTCATACCTTCATGATGTTTCCCTTGGTCAGAAATGCACTAAGTACTCTCAGGATCCGAAGGATTCAACAAATTAGACAGAGTCACTCAAAGCACTCACCAGATTTTCATGACAAATATGGTGATATCCTCCTAGCCAGTGGAGCCTCTTTCTGTCTTGTTACATGGGTATTTCTAGGCACACAGACGGGCATACAGTGGGGCCGTTCCCCTGTTGGCAGAGTTGCCCCGCAAGAGTGGAGTGAAGAGTAGCCGTCACAGTCACTGTAAGGCAGAATTGTTTCCGGGTCAGCTTGTTACTTAAGCACTAAAATATAGCATACTTGAGGAAATAAAATGCATGTGCAACTGTTGAAAAGGCATTGAAAATAGTCATTATTGTGCGTGAAAGCAAGGCAGTAGTGGTATGTATAGATTCCAGGGCTTTATGAATAATAAATATGTGAAAGTAGAATTAATGAAACATGTCTTTTCTGGTTTAATTATTTACATATCCTTCAGCAGATATACATACACAGGTACTTTACAAAGAGGCTTCCCAGATGGCACTAGTGGTAAAGAATCTCCCTGCCGAATGCAGGAGACTTGGGTTTGATTCCTGAGTCTAGAAGATATCTTGAGGAAGAAATGGCAACCCACTCCCGTATTCTTGCTGGAAGAATGTCATTGACAGAGAAGCCTGCTGGGCTACAGTCCATGGGGTCACAAAAGAGTAGGACATGAATGAGCATCTAAGCACACACATACACTTTACAAATTTAATTGTCGGGCAAATCCTATTAAATCTTACTTTAAAACAATTTATAATTGACCATTTTTCCTTCCCTGATCTGAACCACCATACTTTTACTGGGATGATTATAAAAACTTCCTAGCCTGTCTCCTTTTCTTTACACTTGATGACCGCCAAGCCTGCCCTGCACTCCGCAACCCAATCACACACTCTTTTAATGACAACAGCAAGAGTGATCATTTTAAAACATTCGTCTAGGTGGGCTTTGGTGGTGGCTCAGACAGTTAAGAATCTGTCTGCAGTGCAGGAGACCTGGGTTCAATCCCCGGGTCAAGAACTTCTCCTGGAGGAGGACATGGCAACCCACTCCAGTATTCTTGCCTGGAGAATCCCCACGGATGGAGGAGCCTGCAGGCTGCAGTCCATGGGGTCGCGAAGAATTGGACACGACTGAGCGACAAAGCAGCACGCAGTGATCCCGCTCCTTTCTTCAGAGCCCCGCGGCTCCCGCTTCCCTCCAGAGCACCCGGGACCCTGGAGGCTGCGCTGCTCGGCTCAGCCCTGCCCCAGGACCTCTGCATTTGCTCTTCTCTCTTCCTGGAATGCATTTCCTCCAGACCCTGTGTGACTCGCTCCATCACACGTTTCCTTGGTTTTATTTGCATACTGTCTTTTCAGAGCAGGCCTCTGACTACCCTTTTGAAAATTGCAAACCCTGCTTAGACCAACTTTGTTTATCCTGTCTACTTGCTTTATTTTTCCCCATAGGATTTTCATCATCTGACACATAGGATATATTTTATTATTTATTGTCTGTGTATAAAACTCCATAAAAGCATAGGTCAGGGACTTTTTTTTCATAACTTTATCCCTACAACAGGGCCTGATAAATTAGGTCTTCAGTAATTACTGGTTGAATTAATGACTGATTTGAGATAATTCAAAGTCCTTCTTCTTGGTCTGAAAATAATACATTTGTTTACCACTGTGGGTTTGCAGTGATTATTGGAGATTTTATTAGTATCTATTGCTTCTTTACAAAGTGCCTTAAAATTTAGTGATTTGAAACAACAACAAACATTTATTATCTCACAGTTGCTGTGGGTCAAGAATCTGGGTATGACTTAGCTGGATATCTCAGGTCCAGGATCCTAGACTTCTTCAAAGTATCAGACAGGGCTGTTATTATTTTAAGGCATGACTGAGGGAGGATCCATATCCAAATTCACTCCTATGGCTGTTTACTGGTCTGAGGGCCTGACTGGATTGTGGCGAGACACCTCACTTTCTTGTCATATCATTCTCTCCATAGAGCTTATAATGTAACAGAATAAGAGAGGGTGTCCAAGACAGAAGCTTCAGTCTTTTTATTACCTAATCTTGCAAGTAACATTCCATCACCTGCACCCTATTTTGTTTATTAGAGGTGAAACACTAAAGCAAAGCCGTACAAAAGGGGAGGGAAATTTACAAGGCCATGATTGCCTCAAGGCAAGGATCACGGAACTATCTTATGAGAGACTTACTACCTCTTACTAGAGTGACTAGACCACCTCCTACTCCTGGATGATCAACTTCAAGGTAAGTGGACTGTTCCTCAAGCTCACATGCATGTTGGTATCATTATTCTCTGGATAAAGGACACATTCCTCCCCATTATTACTATTTGAGGGTTTTTTAGAATCTTTCAGAAGTGTATAATTTATAGGTCTTTGAAGAATGTCCATTTTCAGTTTTGTCAGTATTACTAGGTTATTCCCCAAAGTGGTTAGTTTACATTCTACGCAGTGATATGTACAACTTCTTGTTTCACATCCAAACTCACTCTTAGAGTTCTCATACATTTTAATATTTTCTGCTTTGCTGAGCATGAAATCATAGCTCATACTTTATGTTTTCCTGATAATTGATGAGGTCAAACATCTTGTGTTAGCTTTCTGTGTTTGGGATTTTTTTGTGTGTGTATATAAACTTTCTATTGTTATGCCCGATGTCCGAATCCCCGAGCGGGAAGAGAGAAGGCCTCCAAGACAATGCAACTCACAAAAAGGGAAGTTTATTGCTGACTCGAGTCAGGGCTCCTGCCGCATCCAACGCAGTGGCGCGGGTCAGAGAGCCCCGAGCCCAAGCTGTTACACAAATTTATAGGGTGAGCACACGCTGTTGGTAGTTGGTTTAAGCAGATTGCAAGGCAATTTCATTGGTCAAAACTTTTGCGCACGGGACTTTCCCAGGGGTTTCTGCCCCGTTCCTAATTGGCAAACAGCGGTCAGTGTTAAGCTGATTGGTTGTATCCAGGTGGCCTGATAATCTTACCACCCAGAAGTAGGAAGGCCCACTCCCAATCTAAGCTGCCTGCCATGGCGTTACTTCTGCTCACCTCACATCTATATGTTCCTTTTTTCCGTTTTTCTGTTACTTACCTTAATCATATGTAGAAAATTTTGTATATTCTTCATACTATTAATGATTATATCAGTCAGGATTGAAGCAGAGAGACAGAAGCAGTGTGAATAGTATAGACTGTAGGAGCTAGAAGAGAAGTTCTTACAAGGCTGTTGTCTTTGGTACTGAACTAGTTCTCAGTAAAGGAGGAAAGCTGAACATCAATCAAGAGAGTGTGGAGGCAGCAGGAATTGAGGAGGATGCACTGAAACCATGGCTGTAAACTGGAAACTGCGCCTCTTCCTCACTGTCTCTCAATTAAGACGGCAAGAATGCCTTATGGGAGACGCTAGAGCTCTTCACAGTGGAACTGCACATTCACTTGGCTCAGGACTCGAAAGAGCTGGAGGAAAGCAGGTAGGCGTTTAAGTAGCTACAGGCCCAGATGCTGTTTCTTATCAATCAAGCCAGAAGATCAGTAACAGCATACGCAAGCTGCCACAGTGCAGGGCCAGTTCCTTTCAGTTCAGGCGCTCAGTCGTGTCCAACTCTGTGGCCCCATGAACAGCAGCATGCCAGGCCTCCCTGTCCACCCCCGACTCCTGGAGTCCACCCAAACTCATGCCCGTTGAGTCGGTGATGCCATCCAACCATCTCATCCTCTATCGTCTCCTTCTCCTCCTGCCCTCAATCTTTCCCAGCATCAGGGTCTTTGCAAATGAGACAGCTCTTCGCATGAGGTGGCCCAAGTATTGGAGTTTCAGCTTCAGCATCAGTCCTTCCAATGAACACCCAGGACTGATCTTATTTAAGATGGAATGGTTGGATCTACTTGCAGTCCAAGGGACTCTTAAGAGTCTTCTCCAACATCACAGTTCAAAAGCATCAATTCTTCGGCACTCAGCTTGACTGAGCACCTGAACTGAACTGAACTGAACTCAAGGAGATAGCACACTTCGTTTATAATCATGTTACAATACACTTTGATGTCCATTGTCTTTTCCCTAAAACTAAATCAGTTAGCCTGATAATACTATATAACATTTGCCTTTCTTCACAGCACTTGTTAGTTTACTATCTAGTTAATTATCTAATTTATTTACCTTGTTTATTGTTTGTTTATGCTAACAGAATGTAAGCTTCTTGGTGGCAGAAACCACGGCTGTCTTACTTGCCATCATATTCTAAGAAGTTAGAATAGTTTTTGGTCTACAGTAGGCATAGAATAAATATTTGATTAAATGAAGTAATGAAACAAAGCTAGAAATACTGTTNCATCATATTTCAGGATTTGCTGTACACCAGTCTTCCAAGTGTAAAATGGATGCTGGTTCATGTCCACTCTCCCTGTCTCAAGCATCTCTCTCTTGTAGCCAGTCCTAACCTGAAACCATAGAGGGGAGGGAATTCTGGAAAAAGTAGTTCAATCCTAGCTAAGTTGACATTTAAAAAGCTACGGTAATCCACCACTTGTCAACTTGTCATCCATGCCAGTACTTGTATTTCAAATAAAGACAGTAGCAAAATTAAGCTTTCACCTAATATAATGCAACTGTCTCTCTTAAAACTAGTACACTGATCCTGTCCTCAAAAGAGGACACCACAAAGACCCTTTATCTGTGGCAGGGTGGCACCCTCAGCTTCCAGTTTAGTGGAACCATTGCTATTATCTCTACTGGAAACTTAAGACTTCCAGACCAGCAAAACTCTAAAGTTACAGGGACAGGAAACAAGTGCTTCTCTCGTGTAATGCTGGGGGTGATTGTGGAGAAGCAGCTCTAATCTCCACCTCTTGATTTCCAGGCCTGTGAATCTCAGCTCTGGGAAATAGCACCATATATTTGTTGGTTATTTAGACAAGCCCAACATCTTGGGAGACATTACTTCAGCCTGGTGAGGTAGTGTGGCCCAATTGTTGGAGTCACTAACATGTCAAAAATGTTCTGTTACCATTTTATAAATGATGGGAAACGTAATATTAGTGACTCCCAGAAGCATAAACCCATTACTATACTACATTTGCTATAAAGGAAGCTTCTTGGTCAGAATCAGTGCTGTTTTACATACCATGGTACCGAGTAAGACACTTTGTAAGTTAATGGATGATGGTACTCACAGGGCAGCCACAGGGAGAGGAGGTGAGTTTACATTGTTAGTAAGTGTGTATTCAAATGAGAGCAAAAGGCTGCCTGTTCCATGATGGAAATGTCTAATGAAATCAGCCTAGCACTGATAGCTAGCTGACTTCTTGCTTTCCTCTAAGGAATTAGTGTCCGGTGTAGGTGCAGTGTTGGTCTATTCATCTGGGCACTCAGCAGTGACTATAGCCAGACCAACATT